GGTCCAGATTTTGTGGTAGTAACGAATGTGAAGCTGTTAGCATTCATTGTCATTCCTCTTTTCAGATGGACTGTAACTTCTGCATTCTACACAATACACAAAAATCCAGAAGTTCCTGCCACTGATTTAATGCTTCCCCAGAGGATACACCAGTGAAGTCTCTCTAGAATTCAAGCAATTGGAAATCATTGAACTGGCAAAAACTTTCTCTTTTAGGCTCTTAGTCTCTGTAAAAATCCGAGTGCATGTTATGCTTCTTAAATGAGGTTTAATTAGGTTTTTAACAAAATACTAAGTTCACAATTACAGATTAAAATGTCTCATTGGCCCTGAAGATGTAATTTTATATTTACTGAATATCAAATGTCTCATTTTAATATTAAAAAATTGCACAATTCTTAAAATAATAAAATATGGACAAACTTTAAAATAATTACGGCCTTGATTTCCCAATCATTACATGTAAAAACATTACAGCTGAAAATGAAGGGGCTCTGTGGTTTTACTTACGGGTTTGTTGTTTGTGAGAGTACTTCAATGTGATTGAATGCCTACCTGCACAGTGCCATCAGTTCTGCTGGATACCTGAAGAACCACATTCCCCAAGTTAATACCATAAACAGAACACTGCACCACAGAGATCATCAGATATCGTTACACCTTTCTTCAATGCCTGCAGTGAATACTGTTGCATCACCATTGGCTACAAAATCCAGTCTGCTAAATTCAAGTTGACCATTTGTTCCAAGTGAAAAGATTGCAAGAAATAGGAGTTATGATTTTAAGTTATGTAAAGCCAGGTCATGGTTAGATTGCATGCATTTCATGCAGTATTTGCATTACAGAAATAAGTGATGCATTCCACTGAGTCCATGCTAATGTTTTTGTGCCACCTGAGTCTCATCCCACCTTCTTCATCTTAACCCATCAACATATCCTTTTAACGAAGGGTCACTCGACCCGAAATGTTAAACTCTGATTTCTCTCCACAGATGCTGCCAGACCTACTGAGCTTTTCCAACAATTTATGTTTTTGTCTCCAATTTACAGCATCTGCAGTTCTTTCAGTTTTTAACACATCCTTCTGTTCCTTTCTCCGTTATGTATTTATTTAGCTTTCCCTTAAATATATCCCAAGGGGTCGCTTCAACTTATCCTTGTGGTAGCCAGCTCTACATTCCAACCACTATCTGGGTGAAGAAGTTTCTCCTGTACTCCTTGCTAGATGTACTAGTAACAATCTCACATATTTGGCCTCAAGTCCCACTCTGCCTTATGTAGGTTTTGAGATTTGAGCGTCACGGATTACCAACATAGGTGGCCAAGAGTACACAATTGACTTTAAGGTTGTTGCTTAATTTTTTTAAGAAGCAACAATTTAGAAATTATGAATAAGCTGAATAAATAAGAAAAACATTTAACCTGTGACAGGTGAGATTAGTTTTACTGGTTTGGGAGGACTAATTGATGAATGATGAGGATCATGTTGATTTCAGTAGATTCAGTGCCAGTGTTCTGCTCTCTATATGAAGTATTAAGAATCTCTTCCCAAATCTTTGGCCCTTTGAAGATCAGGTAGTTGTCTAACAAAGACTGTCCCCATACCCAAGCATTATTAATATACTTTAGTTTGAGGGACTGGTTATTTAATCTATGTCAATCACTTGTCCAAACCTTCTAACCCAACAAATATGATTGGTACCCAGAATGTTGGGAAAGGCCACTTCCCCGGTCCATCACTTTAGCTTAAGGCCATCTTTAAGTTTACCTCATGTTGAGGGCCATTTGTTAAGCCAAACAAGACACTTGTATAGACCAGACACTACACAATGTCATCCTATCAATTCAGGAATACCAACATAAAAGCCCTAACCAGTAGACACTGACATTTCTTATGACTTCATGCACTTTTCCAGAGAGAGAAGAGAAAGAACAATTCTACCAGGTGACTTCATGCTATATTGACTAACTCTATAAGAATTCTGTAATATTCTGAACAGTACCATTTCTGAAATCTATAAGTGGAATATTATTCATTAAATCCTAAGAATCTCTAACAGGACTTTGCCCATATTTTCTAGTCTCCAGATAAAAAGAAATCTTTCCTTTTAGATACAACTTCCTAACATTGTACCATTGCAATAAAACACTTTTTGCATTTTGTCCAACGCTTTAATGTCTTTTTTTTAAATTTGGAGACTAAATCAATTCATACTATTCAAAATGTAATCTAATCAAAGTTCTAGACTCACACAAACAGAAATTGCTGGAGAAACTCTGTAGCTTCTGTGGATAGAAAACATTTCAAGTCCTTCTTCAGAAGTTTTATACTGACTGGTATGTTGGTTTGATAGCATCTTCCTGCCTCTGGACTATTTTTAAGGATGTAGGTCAGGCAGCTGTGATGGCTATCCATCTATGAGAAGCAGATAGCTCATAAATATAATTAAAAAGCACAAAGCATTTCAATCCTGGTACGTTCCTGGCCACAGACTTGGGGGGGTGGGGGGTCGAGTAGGAGGAGACGGTGAATGCTTCAGGATAAATTTGAGGATCCCCACTTCCCCCTCCCAGTCATGGCCATTTTGCCCTCATGATCACAGCTGTAGCCAGAGGTTCCTTCAACATGTTTCTCCCACCACTGCGATGATTTGACAGTTGAAGCCATCAAGTTTAGAAAAGTGTTAAGAGAGCACCTCTATTCTCTATCTCTCTCTTTACCTACACTGACAGGCTACAACTTCCAGAGTACATCCACCATCCATTTTTTAAAAAATCAACATGTTTGATCATGTTCTGACACACCTTCAGGCCAGATGGGACTTGAACCTGAAACTTCTGGCCCAGAGTTTGGGATACTACCAGGCACCACCAGAACCCTGAAATATCCATATGGAATGGCCATAGTTTTCTCTGGCCATTAGTTGGCTATTCTTTTAAAGATTGTGTCAGCTGACTATTTTCCAATGGGTTCGCTGATTTAATACTTGTGTTTGAGTTTAGAACCCAGAATGAAATCAAATCCAGTCTCTCTGCTTTTTAAATCTGTCCTTTTGCAAATGCATCCGGTGCTTTGAGTTTTTTTTAAAAATTGTATTATTAATCAGCGGTTTCGTTTGTTTTTCATAATTGATGCACCATTGTCCGCAGATTTCTCTGCTTGGACACTCATTCTCCAAAGTGTTTGTGGGATGTTTTACCAAATTTTATTCATTTTAGTCAATTGGTGTTTTTTTTTTTCCCAGGCAACAGCTGTAACAAGAAGGAAAAAGAAGGGACTTCTGTAACAAACTAGGCTATAGACACTGATTCACGGAATCCCTTCAAGAAAAAACTAGTTACAATGAATTTCTGGCTAGGGCGGCAACCAACTCTTGGAAAAATGTAATTACTACAAGAAATTATTTGGTCGATACTGATCCCCTCGGCTAGTTTTAGTTTCTCGTCAGAATCAGAATAAAGGATAGCAACTTTTTAGAGTTTTACCCTCAAAATAGCTAGACTTTACCTTTTTTTGTCAGAAGATTTTGGTTGGGGTGAAGCGAGCACGTGTTGTGATAAACCTTGACTGTGTTGACACAATTCTTTATCCCTTGGTTTTCATAAAGCAGCAGTGGTCTCTAGCATATTCATTAAGTAAAGTACGAATCAAGATGATCACTTATAAGACAGGCAGGGCTCAGTTTCACGTCGAGTTCTATCAGCCTACTTTGATCATTTCCTTTCTAACCATAAAAATCCTTAAAATATTTAAAATTGACTTCACACAAATCTTGTAAAATCAACTGATGCCCGAAGCCGTGATATTAGGGATGCAGGTAACGGCCCTTTAAGAGTACCTTGCATTGCATCAAGAGAAATTTATAACCGTGTAGCTGCTGTGCCTATTAATCGCTGTTTAGTGAAACAGCAATGAAATGCGTCCTCCCGTTCTTAGGAACGAGCTATTGGGAATCTCCCATCTGAGAGACAAGGCTCAGAATACATCTCACTATCATTCGCAGCAAACTATCTCTTAATCATTCGGTGCCTAGATAGATGGGGGCGTGCGCCGCGCTGCAGTCACACTCTGTTGTATTCTAATAATTGTGTTCATCCGGACCCGGTAATGGACCAACTAATCCTTTTAAGGGTGAGGATAATAGATTCAGCAGTCGGCATTTTCTACCATAGCATCAGCCGAATCAACAAATTGTTTACAGGGAAGCCTCGCAATATTGTCTATCAGTATTTCTCACTGCACCGACACTACATACACATCGTTCCATTTTAGAACAGTAAGACTGTTTACTATAAGAATACCACATCCGTGTCCACGTCTGATACGGAGGTTCTCTTAGTAATAGTCCTAGTGACTAATTAACTCTCCATTGACCATGGGTGACTCCATACCTTTCAGTCAAACAAAACAATTACGTCAAAACGTTGAGAGGCGAATCTTAGCCAACATCGAGCAATCAATCAACCCGGTTCATCATCACACACAGCATGAACGACTCCACACTGAGAATTTTCATAGCACCGTTACTGATTTGTATTCTATACCATGCAGTCAATATGCTCACATTGGTGTTTGAGATATCATTAGATTCAACGCTGTTAATTACCTGGGGGTATAGCCTTATCATCACTGGAAATTCAGCACCTTACCATCCATCACATTAACTTCGCGTTGCATTCAAGTCACTCACCACTGGAGCCTTGGAATCCGTCTCTATTAACCATTCTGCATTCAATCGCCACCTTTAATCATTGCACTACATATTATATAACCTACACATGTCCCAGCAGATCTCATCGAATAAAAACAGTCCTCAGATGAGAAATGGTGCTGGATGAATGGTATTGTGGCGCTATGTTTTGGCTGAGGTTTCCACTATTAAGGGCAATCTGAGACATGTTGAGATTCCTCGCTCTCTCACATACACACATACAAACAGTGACAAGTACACACATAGATAAGTCTATTCGTACAGATGCATACATCAGCCACCCCCTACCTGCCAGGAGCTGCATCCAGGCGCAGATCTTGTAGACAGTGGCGGTGTTGCAGAAGAAGAAGAGAGCGAAGCAGGTGATGCAGCCGAGGATCAGCACCATGGAGAGCAGCACGAAGAACGCCGCCGCTTTGAAGGCACCCGAGGGGATGCTGGAGAAGTCGGAGAAGGTTCCCTGACATATTAAATCCCGGCTGCTTAAACCTGTCCCGATGCAGTAATGGAAAAGGCCAAAGTAGCCGGCGTAGGGAGTGTCGACACTATCCCCGATCCAGTAAGGCTGGATGAAAACCACCACGTTAATGATCGCGAAGCAAATGGTGAAGATGGCCCACAGCACACCGATGGCTCTGGAATTCCGCATGTAATTGTTATGGTAGATTTTAGAGGCTTCCTGTGAAGGCAACATATTCTCTTCTCTCGCTTTCTCACCTCGCTAGTTCCTTAATGCAAATGCAAGAGCCAATCTTCAGTCTCTTACATTTACAATAAATCCCAATAATGTCTTGCTGATGTCCTTGTCCGATTTGTTATAGAGTGGCTATATGGTGAATGTACTCCATCTTTCCAGACGCTCTCTGCCTCTTTCTCTCCCTTTCTTTCGCTTCCCCCTCTCCCTCCCTCTCTCTTTTTCTCTCCGGCTCCGGGGTGCGCGCTCCCGCCACGCTTGCTGTTTGGTGTATGCGCGTTACCGAGGCAATGCAGCCTTATTGGGAATATTTCCCAGCAAACACCACGGTGCGTTCAGATCAGGATTCAGAATTCAGATTGAACTGAACCAGATCATGATAAAGATATTTAAAAAAAAACACGAACGATTTGCAGTATCCAGTTTAAACCATATCTTCACAAACTTGCACACTGGGCCAAAATAATTAACGAGTGCATATAGTCACAATGAAACAAAATAGATGTGTAAATCGCTGTTTAATCTCCCAGAGGCAACCTGCATGAACGCCCATTGCACACGTTTATACAGATTGTTCTCCCTAAAGAGTCTTGGGGCATACTTTTGAAAGTTAACAAACAAATAATCCAGTCATAAGATGATTTGTTCAGTTGCTTCCAAATTGGAAATTAAAAAAAAAATCTTGTTGCAGCATAAGTTTACCATTTTTACAAAGGTTGTTCAAGATCATTACAAATAATTATGTTGTCCAAAGTAATAGCAGCAATCGTCCATTGCTGCTTTTACTTTTTGAGAAAAACAACAGCGAACCAAGGTTAAAGGTTAACCAAGGTGGAAGGTTAAGTCAATCGGGAAGTTGCCATAAACTGTGTGCACTTTAAAAGCATATAGTTTGCTGAAGATAACAAAGGTTGAAGAAAGTAAAGGTTCCACAGCTGAAATTTTGAGAAAGGTGAGCTAGTACAATGAGGTTGAATGAAGTGCAGAAAATCTACCTTTTTAACTATATTTCCTTGACAATCAACAGCATTGTCATTGCTGAATCACCACCATCCCCATCCTAAGAGTCACCATTAAGTAAAAGCTCAGTTACATGGATGCCGTAGGTAACAGAGCAGATCAGAGATGACAATGAATAGCTCTCCTTTGGCCAGTGAGAGTTTCTCCAACTCCTACAAGGCATAAATCAGAGCTATGATGGAATACTGTCTGCTTGCATGGATGGTGGCAGTTGCATTGGAAGTGCACAGAACATTCCAGTATCAAGCAATCTTTTTAGCACCACAGCCAATTTCTTTACCACCTATATATTGTAGTTGCAATACACATCAGCTGCAAGATGCACTGCAGCAACTCAACAAGACTTTTTTCAACCTCACCTCTAAATCTATAATCTTCAAAACAAGGGCAATAGGTACATGAGAGTACTGCTATAACCTAGTTAGAAGAATCCGCTGCGTCTCTCTAGCCCCACTATCTCACGGATTACAGCATATTTTTAAACATTTTACTCAGTTGCCAATATGGTCAATTATTTACTTTATCTGTATTAGGTCCAGAATAAAAAAAAGATCCATCACTAGAGTCCTTCAATAAACAATATAAATATTAAATAAAAACTGAAAGAACTGCAGATGCTGTAAATCAGGAACAAAAACAGAAGTTGCTGGAAGCTCAGCATGTCTGGCAGCATCTGTGAAGAGAAGATCAGAGTTAATGTTTCAGGTCCAGTGACTCCAATTAAGTTGCTGTAAATTTAAGACTTATTCAAAACAAGCAAAGCTTTATAATTGATTAGAAATTGATCAGAAACCAAAATTAACTTTAGTTGGGACAAAAAGCAAGTACAAATCATTCTAAATAATGCAACATACACCTGTTAAAGAAAAATATATAGAAACTTACTCAGTGAAGATTGTTTTTTGAGAAGAAAACACTGGCTAAATACTTGTTAATTGTTGGAGAATAAAGAGACTAACCATGAAATATTCCAGATAGCTCTCAGTTTTGCATCCTTACAGCTGTCAACAGATACAGATGGTTGTTACTAGATACATGCAATAGTACTCTAACATCTCTTTAGACGCAGGTAATTCTGGAGAGGTCAAGAATAAATCTTGTAAAAGTCTTTCAAGGATTAAACAGTTGTGGTTCTTTAAATATTATTTGGGATTTTCATTTGGGTTTCTCAGGAATGTGGCAAAAGCTGTGTTGAGGATTTTATCTCTTCACAGGTTACATCCCAACTGAACCCCAAACCATATCAAAATAGCCACTTCTCCTGACAGCCATAAACCTAGATGTGTGATTTCTACCAAGTCTAAGCAGTTAGATTTAGTCATTTGACCTCCAGTAAGTTCTTTAAAAAGAAGTCTCACAGTGAACTTTATGAAAAACAGGTTCCATACCTCCTCAGTACTTCAAATGAATTAATTTTCATAATCGTTTTAGACGTGAGACTTCAAAAATATTAATAGTGTTTATAATAATAAATAGATAATAAAAAATATTAATAATAATTAATAAAAACCTCACCAGCATCAAATTTCCTTCCAATTTATATACCATCATCATTTGAACACATACTGCTTTTCTTTCATTGTTGCTGAATCACCCAACCAGTTTGATGGGGAGATCTTTATCTAACAGCATTGTGAAAGTACCATCATCACATGGAATGCAGTGTGGTTCATCCTAGAAATACCCATGTCACGAAGATGTGAAAAAGTGAAAGAGAATGTAGAATGTAATATTTAAAGGCAAACGGAAACCAAAATGAACTTTTGTGGGACAAATACATAGCAAATAGATACCAGACAAGAATGATTGTGACAAAGAAAGTGAGGATAAAATTTGAACGGAGAGAAAGATCAAACATTAGTCAACAAATGATCTGTCTGAATGTGAGAGAGGTGTAAAAAGACAGGCTTCAGATAAGGGTGCAGATTTTAATACTTTAGCAGATTTGGGATTCCTAAAGGTTTGGGGATGATGCACAGGGGAGATGTTCTCAGCCTATTAATAAAAACTCTACTTTCTTGCTTAGCTGTAATAATTAGTATGTTCACTCCATATCACAAACATAGCATTCTGAATTGAGATGGGACAGCTACCTCAGTTTCCATCTCATAGATGTTATTGTTCTGATAATAAGATATTAAAAATGAATACTCTCTTTACTGTTGCATCTATTGAATTTCAAGCTGCCCAATTCACATAGGGATCAAAATTTCTCCTTTCAAGCAATACGTGAGTATTCATTTTTAATCAATTATATTTAACAGCGTAATTTCTGAGAGATGGAAGTTATTACAATATCTACATATCAAATAATCAAAACAGAAACATAATGCTGTTGAATCAATTGTTAAACTGTGAAAGATGCATTTAACAAGTTGTACAACTACTAAACTTTAGTACTGCTTCTATGCAGTGCACATGCCTCTAAGTAATTGTAGTCCCGATTTGCTGAAATGAAATTTTCGAAATCCTATATACAGTACCATGATAGTCCTGCATTTACTCAGTCCTTAAGTATGGTTCTTATGCTTCTTGCAAATACAATGCTGCTGTCTGTGTTACATAACTGTTTGTAGAAGCACTACTTCTCGTTCAATTGATAGTGACTATCGCCAGCTCCAAGATCAACTCTCTCAATAGAACAGTAATGTTCTTGTAAACTGTGAGGCAATCATTGGATAATATGCCTGGGAGTAAATAGTGTCATAACAACCAAAGATTTTAAACTATCATTTACAGGAAACAATTCCAATTAAGCTAGGGCTGTGAGAGTAGAGTTTTAAAAGCTAAAGTACATATTTAGGATATTTACACATTTCATTTTGTGTCAAAGGTAATCAAATGACAAAGTGTGTAAGCGCAGGTGTGGAAAAGAAATATTTCACTAATAGCCAATAATTTGCGAGGTAATGTGGAATACTATGTCATAAGTTTAATTTTAAAAACTTAAGCTTACGAGCTGACATTGTAATTGGCAGGACTTTATTCCAGATAAATTTTCATTTAGTATTATTAGAGAAGAACATGCAGTCAAAATCATGCTTTAGATCAAAACATTAATATTTTCATGCATACTTCATTAAACTGACCCAAATCATTGAAGCAGATTGTAGTCAGTACATGCTTAAATATGCAATTCTGAGCAGCTCATTACTTTTAAGATTCCAAGTGCTAAGCCAGCTGCAGAAACACATACAGACCCTTGGATTCACTTGGGAAAGAGTCACTTCAACAGGTCATGCTAGAACCTGGTTATTGATTTGGTATTCAATTATACATTTTGGGTGATGAATTTTACTACTTGTATTGTGGAAAACGACACTTGATAACTGTAGGTAGAATGTCAGTAGATCTAGCAAGATCCAATAATCATGCTAGTGATGTACTGATGCTATGAATAATATCATTTATAATGTAATCTTAACATGTATATAAGTTTAAAAAATTGTGTAGATTTTCAGTTCTGTCTTCCAAAATGAATGTAGAGTGGTACAGTATCATAAAAGTCAAATAGATGGTGTTGATATTAATTATAACACATAAATTCTTCGCATTTGTTGCACAATGCATACTTATCAACCAAACTACTCGAGACTTTGTTCTCACCTATGCTAATCTTGGCATTTGTCTCAGCTTTCTGCTTGTCCTACATGCTCATTTTTGTATTGAAGTCATCGTCCACACCTCTCCATACCTCAGCTGTTCTTATGCTGGATCTAATATATGTCGGATCTGAGCAAGGTGCCAGGCTGCACAATTTTGTATGAAGCACCCCTTATGGAAATTGTGACAGACTAAACTGAATTTACCATTATGACTTGCTAAACTAGTGGAAGGAATTGCAAAGGGGTATTAAAACAGCATTCTCACAGCGTTTATCAAAATTCACACATTCCTTACAATTAATACACAATTTGAGCTTGCATTATAAACATGACCACAAAGTGCTATGTGTAATATAACATAAAATGCTAGTAAGCAATATCCCCTTCAACTACCATCAGTAATGTATTGGAAGATCTAATTGCCCTTAATGAAACTAACTAGTATACCATTACTGTAAACAATTTGAGATTTATCTATTTTAAAAAGTCATACAAGAAATAGAAATGAGTATCCTGTTATCACTCTTTTACATGCTTCATCAATTT